CATCATAGGTATACCTCAACTATGAGAGACAAAATGGGGAAAAAAATCCAGAAAATCACAGGGTCTGATTTTTAAAGAATTTATTTGCAAATCATGGTGGAAAATAAGTATTTGATCACCTACAAACAAGCTATGAGAGACAAAATGGGGAAAAAAATCCAGAAAATCACAGGGTCTGATTTTTAAAGAATTTATTTGCAAATCATGGTGGAAAATAAGTATTTGATCACCTACAAACAAGCTATGAGAGACAAAATGGGGAAAAAAATCCAGAAAATCACAGGGTCTGATTTTTAAAGAATTTATTTGCAAATCATGGTGGAAAATAAGTATTTGATCACCTACAAACAAGCTATGAGAGACAAAATGGGGAAAAAAATCCAGAAAATCACAGGGTCTGATTTTTAAAGAATTTATTTGCAAATCATGGTGGAAAATAAGTATTTGATCACCTACAAACAAGCTATGAGAGACAAAATGGGGAAAAAAATCCAGAAAATCACAGGGTCTGATTTTTAAAGAATTTATTTGCAAATCATGGTGGAAAATAAGTATTTGATCACCTACAAACAAGCTATGAGAGACAAAATGGGGAAAAAAATCCAGAAAATCACAGGGTCTGATTTTTAAAGAATTTATTTGCAAATCATGGTGGAAAATAAGTTTGCAAATAAATTCTTTAAAAATCAGACAATGTGATTTTCTGGATTTTTTCCCCCATTTTGTCTCTCATAGTTGAGGTATACCTATGATGAAAATTACAGGCCTCTCTCATCTTTTTAAGTGGGAGAACTTGCACAATTGGTGGCTGACTAAATACTTTTTTGCCCCACTGTACTTATTCACATATTAGTAAATGTATGGGGGATTTCACTATTACTTCATTAATATCTTTACATGGGTGTAGTTGGATTTATTTAATTAAATATATTGAAAATAAAAATATTTTCAATTTTTTGTCCACACACTCCCAGCAAAGCCAGCTCCATAGTAGTTAACAACATTAAGTAACAATAGAATCTTTAATTAAAATGAATATTCCTAGAAACAACTAACAGTAAAACCATTCTGTCATGATTATGAAACATCAAATGAACTTCAGGAAGAAAATTCTACTTTATAAATCCCACAAGAATTCTGTTCTGGCAAGAATTTAACTGTTCTGTAAACCCAGAATACTGCGATTATACCATAAAATGCTGTTATTGCTGATCAAATGTATTTTGTTTCTTTACTTTTATTTTAAGCTCACAACATTTATTGGTCCACTGAAAGCAGAACAGAAATATGAGTCCTTGTTAAATAATTTAGCTCATCCACCAGCTTTCACCAGTGTTCGAGTTAACACACATTTGGCTTCTGTGGAATATGTAAAAAATCTGCTTTCCAAAGAGATCCAAAAGGTAAGTGTTGTACCTCCTTCCTAGTTATCCATCTACCTGTCAGTTAGTTGAGCAATAACCAAGGGTGTTGCATATAAAATAAAGCCAAATTATATGCTACCATTTTTAATAGAAATAATAAAAAATAGTTGCAATTGCTAATGCTTTTATTTAGAAGTTTCATGGAAATACTGGGATGAGTTTGCATCTGAAAAAATTATACAGATACTGTGTTGCTGGTACAGCCTGTAATAAACTAAATAAATTGCATATACATCAGAGTGGGAGAAGCAACACCAGCTGAGTGAGTGAAGTGATGTGTTGGACTATCTGCTGCTTCTGAAACCTTGCCATGGTATGCTGAAGCAGGTAAGAAATGGAGGAAGATTTTGCCAAGGGTTTTTTTTGCCAATGGATTTTTAAAAAGGCCTTCACTGTTATGGCCAGTAAAGCAAAATTGGCTATGTTCAGCCTGATATGCTTGATAAACCTAATTCAGGGGCTACTCAGCAGAGCAAAGAGGCATTGAACTTATAGTTGCCTTTATCCAGCTCTAGAATGCCTTGTTTTAAGGCCTAAATCTAGTTGTGTGGCGCAACATCTGCCATAGATCCATGGCTGGGATCTAAAATATTATCACCCCAGAACTTTAGTTTTTCTCCTTTTTTAAAGAATTATCCTTTTCTTTGTTTCAGATTATGGAGATTGCTCCATATTATTTGAGCTGCAAAGCAGATGGTTATGTAATGCCACTATATCTGCCTTGGCAAATCCTGTTTGTTTCTCTACAGATAAATAATGGATGTTTCAGCATTTAGAGAGAGTCAGTGCAAAGCAAGGATGTGTTTGGAATCAGCTTATGCTAAAGCTTTCCTTAGCAGGGTACCGTACAGTGAACCGGGAGAATAATCAGTGTTGTGGTTTTTTTAAAAAACGCAACTATGTTATTGCTTGCATTCCATCATCGTGCAGTCCCAAAAGGACTCCGTTGCTTATTTTGCTGTTTCTATGAACGGACTCTATGCAGATCATTAAATCTCTCCTAAATAAAGATGTTCAGCGGCATGCTGTTTCTGTACTTGCTAATAATGTAAGAGAAAATGATTCTTTGAACTGTTACTGAAATAGTCTAAAATGTGTTACATAACCCATCTTTCAGATATCCTCATATACTTTGTGAATTTCTGTAGAGAGAGGGACTTTGTCCATAAAGCTGTTTCTACAGGAGTTCCAACATGTGCAGAAAGCTTGAGCACTATATAGCATTGGGCAGAGCTCCACAGTATAATTTCATTTGTGAATTTACTTTTTTTTTTGTAGATTTTTTTTATCCCACCTTTATTATTTTTATAAATAACTCAAGGCGGCAAATATACCTAATACCCCTTCTTCCTCCTATTTTCCTCACAACAGCAACCCTGGGAGGTGAGTTGGGTTGAGAGTGACTGGCCCAAAGTCACCCAGCCGGCTTTCATGCCTCAGGGTGGGACTAGAACTCACAGTCTCCTGCTTTCTAGTCTGGTGCCTTAACCACTAGACATTTTTTGTAAGGATCTGAAGTTGGTTAATAAATGTGTCCTTGAATTCTGAAAGGAAGCATGTCCTTGCAAGTTGTACGGTAGTGATATCCACTGGGTGATCAAAAGCTGCCATCCAGCAGATGTTGACCCCTCCTGCAGACACTGCTGCTATACAGTCTCTACTTATTCTGATAATAAATTCTTCTGTCTACTGAAAATATTAGTGATGATGAATACAATAACTATAATTTATCCTTCTTCAACTTATAGCAATATGAAAGTCTTAGCGTTCCAGTTCTGCAACATCCAGAACTTCCTGACATGTTACTTATCCCTGTTATTGGGCCCAGGTTTGTGCTTTTTTAGAATCTTCGTGATTGGGTTTGATTTCATTCTAGGAAACTCCAAGCACTCCTAGAGCAATCCTTATCTTGAATTTATAGATGATACACTAAAAAGAGCTAATTTGTAGGATATCACTGCTTATCAACATGGAAATGAACTGCAGCACATTTTGGGTTTGTATGTTTGCCCTCATGGATAATCCTTCATGTTTCTTTGATTAAATCTGACAAATAGTTTCAAGCAGGCCAGCTTCACACCATGGGTTATGTAGCTTTTGCATGCTTAAACAAACTAAAGATAAGCTCACATTATTTGAAATATTGTTATCCTACTCAAAGCAGTTATTTATTCATTCCATCAATAACCTGGGTTTCATTGATAAAAGTTATCTCTGTGCTGAAGAATGAAAGAGAAACACAATTAAACTTTTCCTAGAATGTCAATGTTTTAATATTCATAAATGCCTGCTGTGATGCATGGTGGGACAAAAATTGTAATTACTGCTGTGCAGTGCTTTGGATTCAGTTGTGAAGAAGTGCTTCAGAACACAAAGGAGCATTAATGCAGCACCTATCTGAGACTCATTAAAGCACCTGAATCTTTTTCCAGGATTACTTGGCTACCATGGAGAGATCCTGCAAACAGATGCAGTTGCTATAATGAGCCTCAGACAAGTGTTGTGTTTGTGCTATCATGTGTTCTGAAGCATCTCCACCCAGTCAAAACAGGAGCCCCATATAGCCCTAATGGTTATACCTCAGAAATCTAGAAACAGAGATAATATATGATCAACTATCAATAATGTGTCCTCTCTAAATGTTACTACTTTTCAAAGAATCCCTTAATCTTATGAAACACATATTTACATTCTCTAAATGTGGCTTCCAAATGCAACTATTATAAGTTGCAACTTTGAAATTATAAAAGCTCTAAATGAAATTCAAACGCTAGAAAGAAAATGCACTGCCAGTAAATATAAAAAAACAAAACTAGCTATGTGGGAGGGTGGGAAAGATGAGTACAGCTGAAATGGTCAAGTTAGCTTTCCCCCCAGTAACATACATACATACATACATGCATACATACATACATACATACATACATTTATTTATTTATTTATTTATTTATTTATTTATTTATTTATATTTCAAATTTAGCCACTGCCCATTTCATGAGGAAGTGACTCTGGGTGGTTTACAATAAAAACAATAAATAATATTAATTAAAATACAATATAGTATAAAATACAGTAAAAATATAATAAAAACCAAATACATACATAAATAAAAAT